TTGGGATTTGGGATTTGGGATTTTGGCATTTGGGATTTTGGCATTTGGATTTTGAATTTGGGTGGCAGGTATACTCTGATCTGATATCCTATATACACAAATAAACAAATATCTCTTTTTGATTATCATTAATACCATCATTCTCTCTTTAATATGCATAATATCTCTTTATGACCTATTTTTATCTACTCCTTTAAAATATATATAATATTAACAATACTATATTATATATGTATCAGTTATAGGAAATGTTACAAAATTAATGGACAGATTTTTTTTACTATAATATCGTAATATAAATTATTGGTACAATATGGTTTCTAAATTTATAATCCATATATAAAATCTAAAATCTGTTGAAGTTAATTTAATTAATTAAAATTGTCAATTTTTAAATTATAATTTTGATTGAAATCTTTTATAACTTTGGTCAAATTTATAATTCTGATTCAAATTCAGTTAAAATTAAAAAATTCAAATTTAATTATTACTAATTTCCCTTTATAACATGTTTCATAAATTAAGTGATACAATACATAGAGTCTAAAAAAAGATTACTCAAGTATTATTTTGACAAGTGTTTTATATTCTTTTCAATTAATCAGAAGTTCAAAGTTATTGTATTTTCAATAACATTGAATTTTGACAATAACATATATACACTAATATCTCAAAAAATTAATTAAGAAAACACTAGTAAAGATATAAAAGACAATAAAAACAAAGTGGAAAATTAAGTAAATAATAAAGTAGATAGTGAAAATTCATTTTTTGAAAACTTTTTTTATAAATCAGAAAATGATTTAGATGAAAACCAAATTACTTTTGATTTTAACAATGAATTAAGTAAACTTTTTACTCAAATTATTAGTGAAAATGAAGAAAATAGTAATATAGAATTATATATAAGTAAATATAATAATGATATTAAAACAGAATTAGAATTAGATAACAATAATAATGAACAAAACTTTGATTATACATGTGATAAAGAAATTAATGAACTTATATCAGATAATGAAGAATTAATTAATAAAGAAAAAAAATCTAATGTGTAAATATTTATTTCACAAGTAACACCTTGTGTAATTATTGATTATGTTCAAGGTACAATTAAAAGATGTGGAGCAACATATAAACTTAAAAAATTATAAAATTTATATGGGATATAACAAATTGATCGAGAGACAGTTAAACAAGTTAAAGATTATTCTGAGTTAGGGGTTTGTGATTTATATTTTTTATTTAATCAAAATTAAATTCATAATCATAAAGATAAAAAATCAAAAAATTTTAATGATGCAATAATTCAACATCGAAGATATATAGGGTATAAAAAATATGTAAATTTTTTTAGCCGCAAAAAAGAATATAGCAATCATTCTTGATTTGTTAATAGACGAAATATACAAGTATCTTGTAATAGGCTAGTATATTATAATGCATTAAAACAATCTTCTATAGATTCTTTAATACTTTGTAAACATGCTTATAATGAAATTAAATAATCAAGATGTATCTATTATATTTGTTATGAACAATTGGGTGAACATATTTACAGATGTACAAGTCAGGTAAAAAATCAGATTGTAATAAACTTCATAAACAAGATATTTCTAATGAAATAAAATTTATTACAAATTGGTTTATTGAAATTTTTTATTTGGATAAAGAATTAACAAAAAAAAAATATTAAATTCTATTACTAAAGCTATTTTATCTTTTCTTACCACATCTTTAATAATTCAAACTATTAATACAAATAAAAATAATATTAATACAAATAATATTCTAAATGAAACTTCCAGTATTTTTATTATACAAGCTCTTTTCCTTGATACCTTTATAAATAATACAAGAAAAATTCAAACAGATAATACAGAAATT